AACTAGTCAGCATGTGCTCACACACACAGAGACGAGTGGACACAGACACACACAGTCATGTGCTCTCACACACGCTCACACACTCTTCCTGCTTACAGGCTCGCTATGGCCCTTACTCAAGATGCTGAAGAACGTGCTTCGACGCGTCTTCTGGCTGCCACTCCTTGACGTCGAATGGTAGATTCTGGGGAAATCGGTAGCCTCGAGGACCTGTGAGACGACAGGAATTGGTCAACTTGTGGCTGACAGCTAGGAATTTTCCCCACTCTGGACCAATAAATTTTCTACCCAATATGCCATAAAAGACAGATGAACAGTAAAGTTTTTACAACTGTTCTACCTAACTATGACTACATGCCAGGGCAGGGCAGCTCCAATCATAAGTGGTATATTATAAGTACATAGAATATAAGCAAACGCATACAGTGCAAGTGTACATACAGTGTAAGTAGACACAATACAAGCCGACACAGGTACACGCAATATAAGTATATACAATATAAGCCTATACAATACAAGCCAACAGAGGTACACGCAATATAAGTATATACAATATAAGCCTATACAATATAAGCCAACAAAGGTACATGCAATATAGCTACACACAATACAAGCCAACAGAGGTACACGCAATATAAGTATATACAATATAAGCCTATACAATATAAGCCAACAAAGGTACATGCAATATAGCTACACACAATACAAGCCAACATAGGTACACACAATATAAGCCAAGACTTGAGATAACTCTGTGGAAGATTAATTGTTGGGCCCCATAGCCTTTGAGAAGATGGAACCTACAGAACAACTGCAGTCACTTGAGGAGGGTGTAAGACGCTCCCTCTAGAAGTCCAAGATAATGGCATGGAAAAAAAACCACTACCAAAGCTGGTAGTGAGAAGGAAGATGGATGAGAAAATCTTGTAATCCTTTCCTGTCTCAAAGAGTAAAAATGTAAAGATGCTAGAATAAGCTATATCTGGGAAGGAATGTGAGTAAAATACTGCCTATATGGCACAAAATAGTGCCTGTAAACCATCGAGATGTAACAAAGGCCTATGACACGGAAGACAATAGACACAGACTACATAACACGGATGACACAACATAGACACGGATGGCATAACAGAGACACGAGTAAACTGCCTAGCACTTTCAACTTATGGACCCGAGATTCATAGCGCAAGATGAGCCAGAGGCCGATGATGCCAAAGGAAAGAAAGCCCTATGATGATGGCACGTGATGATGAAACATAACTCCTTAAAAGAAGTTAGTGCCAAAGCAGTTAAGAGGATGCTCGAGAGGCTCAGCGAGCCTAGAGAAGGAAGCCGACTGCCGGGTGACCGTGGCCGTAGCTCCGGACCTGAAGGCGAGCTCCTCGGGGAAAAGATCCGTGACGACGTCGGGCCGAGGAAGGCGGACAACGCAAAGTTCCCGAGAACGTGGAGATGGGTTGGAACTGCCCTGCCCGGCAAAGGCTCTGGTGAGGCTGAGGAGAAACCCTCTCCCTTTACTTCCAGAGAGCCTGTCCCGATACAGACCTCTCCGCTAAGCTGACATGAAATTGCCCCCTGTGATAGTAAAGGTTTTTCCCCTTCTCCAAACCACTGGCCCCGACACTTAGCTTTTGGAAGAGGAGCGGACAAAATCCATCCTCGGTCGCACGTGGACGTTGAGATGTTCTCCGCGTGTGCTTCGGTGTTGCCGTTTCTAAGCTTTGGGTAAGAGCCTCCTCAGGGTACCTAAGACAAAACAGAAAAGGTGACTATTGCCCTCAACAACAGTAATCCCCGGGACTCCTCCGCACCACTCCCCCGGCTCACCTCAAATCTTGATTTGACTCCGGAGGCTGGCCAGAAGATACCTGCAAAGAGAAAAGGTACATACTTAGCATGCTGCTTCATAACATTCACCTATGAGTCAGCCTGCCTAAACGCCGACTCACCTGCCCTCCTCTGTTCCTTGGCGTACCTAGGGCAGCAACAGCACCTGCAAAGTAACAAAGCAGAAAAGCATGCTGAGATACTGTGAAAACACAACCTCCCAAATCTGACAAATATGCCACACCGATACCTTAAGCTCGCACCCACCTGGCACAGATATGCTCGGCTAGGATAGATTGCAAGCGGACCACCTAAAATTAAAAAAAAAAAAAGAGATGCTTAAAGCTGCACCAGAAACTGAGACCTCAGCAATAACAATTGCTTCTGTACACTAGTCAATGCTCACCTCGCCCACTTGGCCTTGACTGCTGCTCTCGGCTTTAACTTCCTAAAAAGAGAGACAAAGAACAATGCTGTAACAGCCACCATTTATGCTTCCTCTACAGAAACAAGTAGTGCCTCACCTGCTTGGGGGAAACCACTCACCCGGGATGGGGCCCTCTGGCACACATTTAATCCATCTGAATCTGAAAAAAGGTTAGGACAAGAGTCAAACTGTTGCAGGATAACTTAAGAGCTCCAGATATCTTGTGTCCATCTACAAATCCCATCTAGAGTCCAACTACACCCCACATTACAAACTTCAAGTCCCCGGGACTTCTCCTATTGCACCGGGCTACGCGGCAGGGCAGCGCAGCTCCGGCACAAATGTGTGTGCTGACACCCGTGACACGGGACGTGACAGACGACGGGGACGCGACATGGACAGAAATCTCCTGGCAAGGAAAATGGCTGTGAGGACTGAGAGAATGCAAAAGGAGATGACCGAGGTGAAACTGATGGTGGGCTGATGAGGCTCAGAGAACACTGGAGGTAAAAGATGCTAACTGAATGATTTATTCCAAGAACTGCAAAGATGGATGCCCAAGAATCCTACGGCCAGAAGCCTGTACCTGCCCTCACATTCTTACAAGTCCTAGTCCGCCATAATGGATCCTGGCGGGGTATAGCTGTCCATACAGCTCAGAACAAGACCTGAAAAAACAGCTGACTGGATGCTTATAAAAAGAGATGAGAGTCTGAGCTCCCGAGTCAAAAGTTCTATGGCATGGGTGCCAGGCCAAGGAACGCTGAGAGCACAGATGCTAAGACTGGTGCCAAGGTTTCTGGTAGGCCCCTCAAAGGGCTAAGATAAAAGACATGAGACAGCTAAACAAGACATAATGCACAACAGACAAGTGACACAATATACACCGGGACTGCTCTGCCCTGCTCACCTCAGCACGGTGATCAAAAGTGAGATTTTGCTTTTAGGGGGCCTAAGGGGCCACTTCTTGGCTACCCTCGTCTCCATAGCCAACTCAAAACCTCCCCCATCCCAGGAGTGCCGACCCAGCACCTCGCTTTCATTCCCTCTGTGGGTCGTGGCCCTCTACTTATCTCTCGGACATCTGGGGATGCCGGTCCGTGTCGGGTGCGAAGAAAGGCCGCCTCGCCGGCTGGGAAGTTGTGCTGTCACCGGGCTGTTGTCTCTTAGACAGCTATATTAAAGAAAACCAAACATCAACACCTGACCTTGGCACCACATCGGCCAAAACCACACAAGTCTGCTACTCACCGTTCTCCTAAGAAGGCCTGGCACCTCGTAACCATAACCCTCTGCCACAGATGTAATTCATCTGCACCTGAAAATTCATCTGCACCTGAAAGAAAGGTAGAACATATGTCAAACACATGCACGATAACTCAAAAGCTGCAAACACCTTATGTCAACCTAGGAATAGCATCTAGAGTCCAAGTACAGCCCACATTACAACTTTCAACTCCCCGGGGCTTCTCCTATTACACTAGGCTATGCGGCAGGGCAGAGCAGCTCCGGCACAAATGTGTGTGCTGACACCCGTGACACGGGACACGACAAACAATGGGCACAAGACACAGACAGAAATCTCTAGGCAAGAAGGATGACTGCAAGGACTGAGAAGATGCCAAATGAGATGACCAAGGTAAGACAGACCGATGGCGAGCTGATAAGGCTCAGAGTGCCCTGGAGAAGGAAGATGCTAAACTGAACGTTTTAGTCCAAGAACTGCAAAGATGAATACACAGGAGCCCTACGGTCAGAAGCCTCTACCTGCCCTCACATTCTTACAAGTCCTAATCCACCATAGGAGAACCTTGCAGGGTGCAGCTGTCCATACAGCTCAGAACAAGACCTGAAAAGACATCTGACTGGATGCTTACAAAGAGTTGCAATTCTGATGCCTGTCTGAGCTCCCGAGTCAAAAGTTTTATGGCCTGGGTGCCGGGCCAAAGAAACGTGGAGATCGTGGCTGCTAAGAATACTGCCGAGGTTTCTGATAGGCCCCTCAAAGGGCTAAGATAAAAGACATGAGACACCCAACCAAGACATAACGCACGGTAGACAAGTGACACGATACACACCGGGACTGCTCTGCCCTGTGCACCTCAGCACTGTGATCCAAAGTGAGACTTTGCTTTTAGGGGGCCTAAGGGGCCAATTCTTGGCTACTCTCATCTCCAGAGCCAACTCAAGACCTCCCCTCCCCGATCCCAGGAGTCCCAACCCAGCACCTTGCTTTCATCCCCTCTGTGGGTCGGAGCCCTCTACTTATCTCTCGGACATCTGGGGATGCCGGTCCGTGTTGGGTGCGAAGAAAGGCCGCCTCGCCGGCTGGGAAGGTCCTGCTGGCACCGGGCTGGTGTCTCTTAGACAGCTATATTAAAGAAAACGAAACATCAGTGCCTGATCTTGGCAGCCCGTCGGCCAAAACCCCACAAGTCTGCTACTCACCCTTCTCCTAAGAAGGCCCGGCTCCTCAGGTGGCACGCTTCAGGAACGCTCGGAGGCCAACGCCGTCGGCGTGGGGTACACCTGGGTTAAGAAGACAGGAGGCGATGTGGCATTGCTGAAAACTGACTGGACCCTTGGTCCTCCTCCCTACTTCCCTGACTCACCGCAACTCCTCGGTGGTTCCTGACTGCTACCCGGAAGACAGGGCTCATCAGGGTGAAAAATTCGGTCCGTCGGCCGGGTGGGGATGGGAGCTTGGCGTGCTCCGAGTGGATTGCCTAAGGCACAAAAACGAGAATGGAGACTTAGACTTGCCCCCTTGGAATTCAGACCTCAGCAACAAGAAAGGCTACTGCTCACCTTACCCTTTTGAACTTGACTGCTGAGATCCAGCTATACTTCCTAAAAATAAAGACCAAAAACAGCGCTGTAATAGGGTCACACTTGACACTCCCCCTGCACAGACAAATGGTGACTGACCTGCTATGGGGAACCCCCTCACCCGGGATGGGGTGCTCTGCCATGGATGCAATGCATCTGCACCTGAAAGAAAGTTAGAACATATGTCAAACACCTGCAGGATAACTCAAAAGATACAAACACCTTAGGTCAACATAGGAATAGCATCTAGAGTCCAAGTACAGCCCACATTACAACCTTCAACTCCCCGGGGCTTCTCCTATTACACCAGGCTATGCGGCAGGGCAGAGCAGCTCCGGCACAAATGTGTGTGCTGACACCCGTGACACGGGACAGACAGGACGTGACAAACAATGGGCACACAACACAGACAGAAATCTCTGGGCAAGAAGGATGACTGCAAGGACTGAGAAGATGCCAAATGAGATGACCGAGGTGAGACCGATGGCAAGCTGACAAGGCTCAGAAAACACTGAAGGAAGAAGATGCTAACTGAATGATTTATTCCAAGAACTGCAAAGATGGATGCCCGAGAATCCTACGGTCAGAAGCCTCTACCTGCCCTCACGTTCTTACAAGTCCAAGTCTGCCTTAATGGATCCTGGCGGGACATAGCTGTCCATACAGCTCAGAACAAGACCTGAAAAGACAGCTGACCGGATGCTTCTAAAGAGACAAGAGAGTCTGATGCCTGTCTGAGCTCCCGAGTCAAAAGTTCTATGGCATGGGTGCCAGGCCAAGGAATGCAGAGATCACAGATGCTAACAATGATGCCAGGGTTTCTGACAGGCCCCACCAAGGCCTAAGGTAAAAGACATGACATATGCAAACAACACATAATACACAAAAGACAAGGGACACGATACACACCGGGACTGCTCTGCCCTGCACACCTCAGCGCTGTGATGAAAAGTCAGGCTTTCCTTTTATGGGGCCTAAGGTGCCGCTTCATGGACACCCCCCACCTCCAAAGCAGACTCAAAAACCCATCCCAGTAATTCCCAAACCAGCACCCTGCTTTCATTCCCTCTGTGGGTCGTGGCCCTCTACTTATCTCTCGGACATCTGGGGATGCCGGTCTCCGGTGCGAAGAAAGGCCACTTCGTCAGCTGGGAAGGTCCTGCTGTCACCGGGCTGTTGTCTCTTAGACAGCTGTATTAAAGAAAACCAAACATCAGTGCCCGATCTTGGCAGCCCATTGGCCAAAACCCCACAAGTCTGCTACTCACCCATGCTCCTAAGAATGCTCAGCTGCTCGGGCCGCACGCTTCGGGCACGCTCGGAGACCGAGGCTGTCGTCACAGGGGGTGCCTGGGTTAAGAGGAGAGGAGGTGATTTGGCATGGCTGAAACCTGAGTGGAACCTGGCTCCTCCTCCCTACTTCGCCTACTCACTGCAACTCCTCGGCAGCTGCTGAAGGCCACCTGGATGGCACCTTTAAATAGAGTTCAGGGTTTCATCACCAGGTCCTGTAATGCATCCGCAGGGCTCACACGTGCAGGGAACCCGGTGCATCGGCCGGCTGGTGACGGGGGCTTGGCAGGCTCCAAGTGGATTGCCTAAAGCACAAAAAAGAGAATGGAAGCTTAGAGCAGCACCAGAAACTGAGACTGGAGCAATAACAGCTACTTCTCTCCACTGCTCACCTTGACTGCTGGTATCCAGACTTAGTTCCTAAAAAGAAAGAAAGAACAGAGCTGTAACAGAGTCACCACATACACTTCTGTTGCAGAGACAAATGGTGCCTCACCTGCTCAGGGGAAACCACTCACCCGGGATGGGGCCCTCTGCCACACATTTAATCCATCTGAATCTGAAAAAAGGTTAGGACAAGAGTCAAACTGTTGCAGGATAACTTAAGAGCTCCAGAT